ATGTGAATAAAATAAGCTTAAACTGTAAAGTCTCTTTTGAAAGCTCATACCACCTCAAGAGCAGGCATTATTAGCATCTTTTCCTAAATCTGCACTCAGTGACAGCACCTTGGTAGTATAAAATTGCCCCATGTAAATTAGAAAATGCTTCAGACAATATCACACCCACTGCAATTCTCCACTCCATAGTGCTCTTCTATGGTTATCCCTTGAGATCACTTCAGGCATTGTTGTTGTTAGGTGACACCTAGTGGAGTACGACTCACAGTGACCCTGTGAACAAAAGATCTGAACCCTGCTCTATCTTGTGCCATCCTCATACTTCGTAACACACGAGAACCCATTGCAGCAGTCACTGTCAATACACCAGGTTGAGGGTCTTGCTCTCCTTCACTGACCTTCCACCTTTCCTAGCATCCTGTCCTTCTTTGAGGAATAGTCCTTCCTAGCAACATGCCAAAGTATGTGAGGTAAAGCCTCATCATTCTTACCTCCAAAGAGAACTCTGGCTGTACCCTTTCCAAGACATGTATGTTTTTTCTCTTGGCTGTCCATGGGATGTTCAGTGTTCTTCTTCAACACCACAGCTCAAAGGCGTGCATTCTTTTTCTGTTATCCTTATTCTCTGTCCAGCTCTCAGATGCGTAGAAAGTGATTGGAAAGAATGTGGCCTAAGATCAGGTATTAAGAATTTTACAACTCTTCAGGTGTCTCCACAGTAAGGACCCTTGCCAATGTGATATTTTCCACGCAATCTGTCATTTAGATATCTTCGATTTTTCTTAATGATTTTGGAGTATCAAGATAGGTTTAGGTACTGCTTACAAAGAAAGTTGATTATCCTTGGCTTTAACAACCAAGGAAAAAAGAGAGAGAAATACTAGAAACTGAGACACTTGCCTTATAAAAATCAGAACCATCAATGGTAGAATAAGTAGTTGAAATTCCTGATGAAAAGAGGTGGCAGTTTTCTGCCTTCTGGTGACCTGGGTTCTTGACACTCACTTTTAGAACAAACCACTGAATCATCAGGCTTTGAAATACCTAATCAGTGATAAAATAATTTTCTTATTTAATGTTCCCTTTCGGTGGTATTTCAAAGATCCCAAGCAGGAAACCACACACCTTCTAAAACATTATTTAAGACACATATGCATTTTACAATGTATTACTTAAAGATACATTATATAGAATTATGTAATGATGTGTCTGCAATGCCTGATTTTTGTTAAGTGTTGGACTGCTAACAAAAAGATTGAGAGTTTGAATCCACCAGGTGCTCCACTGGAGAAAGATGAGAGTCTGATATGGTTTATATCCTTGAAACCTGACAAGGTTCCACCTTGTCCTATAGGGGCATTGGTGATTCTGAATTTACTTTATAGTAATGTGTTTGGTTTGGTTTGCTGAATATATTTCTGCCCATTTTAACGTTAGATACATCTTAAACTTACAGAATTCACTGGTTGGTGCTGAACACACACATACACACACACACACACACACACACACACACACACACACACACACACACAGAACAAACCGGGGAAAGGAGAATCACATATATCTGCACATTCTTTTTTCATTAAAAAAAATTTGAAAGACTTTTTCAGAGACAACATGATCTCATGGAGGGCCTTTTGTATTTAAAAAGGCCAGGCCCTTGTCTGCAGTTTGGAGACTGATGAGTGAAGAGGTTGGACTCTGAAAGGTGGGCTCTCTTATTTTGGTTGAGGGTTGATGTGGAATGTTTGGTTGGTTTTTCTGTTTGTCTGTTTGTTTGTTTTTTTAATTTAAGCCTCTTGTTTAAAGTCAACATGACCTTGTGGAGGGCCTAGTGTTATTTTACTTTGTAGGAACATTCTTCTAAGTGGTATAACACTGGTCTGTCAATTTGCTGTACTAAGGTAACCTGAGGTGCTGTAATGCTAAACCCTGTACTATTGGTATGTCAAATACCATCATGGTTACCCATGGTGGACAGTGTTTGGTGAAGCTCCCAGATTAAGACAGGTTCAGAATCGGAAGTGGCATCCACTTCCTAAACAACATGCCTCTGGAAACTACATGAACTTAGAGAAATGACAATAGTTATAGAAAGGGTTTGGGTTCTTTTGTTTATAGGTTCGCTATGAGTTGTGCTCAACTCAATGGAAATCAACAACAAGGTGTAATATGCCATGGATTTTTAATTATGACTCATATTCCTTGTATGGAAAATCATCTTACTCTTTTCAAAGTGCATCCTCCAAGCTTTTCTTTTATGAAGCAGAGTGGTATGATAAGGACTAGGTCCAGGATTGCTACTCCCCACATCTGTTGCTCTTTGGGGTTAGAGGCCAGATACTGACAAAGGAGTCAGCCTGATATGCTTCAATTTTAGACTAACAGGGCTGTTGTCCCAGTCATTCTCCAGAATTCTGATTTCAGTTTGCCTATCTCCCTTTTGTTGTGGTACGACTAACTGCCTGTGAAGCCTTACTCTTGGGTCTCTGTAGGTGCCTGGTCTAGAATTCCCTGAGAAACAGTCTCTGCCTAGTCCTTGAGTACCACAAACATTTCAGCTCTCCATTATTAGCCAAAAGGTTGGTGTGTTCGACTCACCCAGAGAGACAAACCAGGAGATGGTTAGGTAATCTGCTCCTGAAAGATCGTTGCCTTGACGATCTCATTTGCTTGGAAAGACTGGATGGTAACTGACAATGACAGCCATGGGACAACTCATAGCCAACAACTGACATCCTAGAGCTCCCAGATGACTAGAATTTTACATGAAGCCAGATCTTTTTTAAGATACCCTGATTACCAGTTTCTCCTGAAAGCATTACATTCATTTGTATAATGATTGCCTGTCTCAGGCTCTACTTTTTTAATCCAACTTAGACACAACTACCCATACTTCTAAATTCTCCCCTTAAAAAACCAGTTTCTCTTTCTTCCTCTGGATGCCGACTTTAGTCAAGACTAGGCATCTATTCATACCCCCATTCTTCAAGCCTGTCCATGCTCCATGCTGGATTTCTTTGGCCAGTTTTGATCCTGAGGGGAGGTACTGTCCTGAATGAAGTTACCACTAGGAGTCAGAGAAGGAGGAAGAACTCCTTGGTCACTCTCGAAGAAGCGACAAGAAGCTGCACTGTAGCTTGTCACCAGCCAGCTTGGATGTTTTTGAATGGGGTAGCATAGTTATCAGTGCATATTTCCCAACTTACACATCTGGGTAAATAAAAGAAACCCATAGCTGACTATTGAATTCTCAGCTGCTAAACTAATTCTATGTAACTGTTTCTTCCATCTCTCGCTCTTCCCAAGAAAAGTAGTGAACACTGGCTCTTTCTCACGCACCTTCTCCCAGTTTTGCACATTTAAGACAGGGTTGCTCTCAGTCAGGAAGGGTTATATCAAAGTCAAGTCTTTGTTGACTTTTATTTTCTTTCCTCCTGATACTTCTACTTCTTTTTCTTTTTGGCACACACACACACACACACACACACACACACACACACAGAGAGAGAGAGAGAGAGGCATGCACACACACATGCAGGGTCCTGACCTCCAAGTTCTCAATAAAAAGTTCTGGATCTCATACCTGTGGGGTCGAGTTTGAAATCAGATTTTGTGGTAATTAAGAACTAATCTCTAGACTTCTCAAACTAGGGGACAAGGGTTCCAGAAATATAAAATGTGAACCACAACATAATACTTGGTGCCTCTTCTTTAAGGTTCTCTGGCATCCAGAAACTTGAGAAGATTTTATTACACACACACAAACAGGGGGAACTCCAATGACTTGGTCATAAGAAGTTGCACTACCAACCCTTTGAATGTGCCAAAGGAACGCAGTTGGAATCCACCACTTGCTGTGCAGTAGAAAGACAGGCAGTCTCCTCTAGTGTGATTTACCACCTCTGAAAACTCACTGGAGAGTCAGCTTTAAGTCAATTTCAACTTGATGCTACATAACAATGAGATATATATAAAGTATGTTATATATATGGACTGTTTATACACATATATAACATGTGTAAACACATATGCATATAAACTAACAAGGATATATTACATAGTAAAATGTAAAGCCTGCCTAATTTCTGACAAAATTGAAACTATAAAAACATTTTGCTCCAGCACTGCATTGGGGCCAATTTACCATCAGATACACTTACAGGTACCACAGTTCCCCTGTATCTCATGATGCTATTACAGGCTCATGAAAGGATTTAGAATACAAAAGGAATAAAATTTTGGTTTGAGGAAACATTTTAATATTTGACATCAATATGTACTTCTTATATCAGGGTGGTCATAAATAATGTATTATTTTTTTTTAAATGTAGGAGGTAAGAGTTCTGGTGGCCTATGAAGTCACAATGTGGTCTCACCTCCAGGCCATACCCAGTGGAAAGGAGTGAACACTCTACATTTTAGGCATCATCTCTTTTCAACTGGTTGTTTTTCTGAGAATTGGAGTATTCAAATTCTGAAAGAATGCATTTGAAATGGTAGAATGTCATACTTACTTCAAAAGGCAGTAATAAAGATATGCAGGACGAGGAGGCCTGCTAGTCACACCTGAGATCCCACTGTGAACAGCAGTCTGTGCTAAGAATACCTTCTTCATTCACAAGGCACGGCTTGCTTTCCGATGCCATATTTGCATATTTGCAGAGAACAGCCATCCCCTTGTATGTATGTATCTCCCTGTCTTGGAATTTAAAATTGAAGTCTGAGAACTTGAAGGGGATTTGGGGAACATTGAGGCCAACCTCCAAGCAACCATGTAAGAGCACCTTCGTCAGCATCCTTTCTTTACTCAGCTCAGCTTGAGCACATCTGATACGATTTGCACTTGAGAGCTTCAAAGCTGCTTCCTTGATGGCACTGTCTTGTAAAGAAACGTTCAAAGTATGAAACCATAGAGATACACAGGTTGTTGAGGAAGAGGAGGATCTCAGACGCGTATACCACGCACATGCCTTGAATCGGTGCTGGGGGATGAGCTACACATGTTGAGCGGTACCCACAAGGACCATGGTGGTCTCATTTTCCTCAGGTGTGAGATCCACGCCATCCTCCACCACCTTGTGGAGGGTACTGTAGTGCTGTAGGGTTTGGTGGAAAGCATAGAGCTCTGATGCAGCCTCCCAGGCCGCAAAGCTGGGCAGGGAGATCAATTCTGGTCTCTTGTTTTCAAAAAAACATGTTAGGTTCCTCTCACTCAGCTTATTGGCATAGTCCAGGAATGTGTTTTCCATCTGCTCTTTCTCTTTTTGAACGTATGTCTTCCAAAAACTCATCTGAAGGTAGCTAACTTTAGACCGGCAGCGACCATAGCAAGTGGACACAAGAGAGAAGAAAGATGCGGAACAAATCAGGCACCATCCTAGAATCTTAGAAAGAAAGAAACGTTGAAGACATGGAGAATCAAAGCCACTTTTCAGGTATTTAACAGAGTGTTATTAAGGATTAATACGGTACACATTCACTGATTGCCACACCTCATTGGAAGAATTAATCTTTATTTTTAAGCAACATTTTTGACCTGTCAAAGTTTACCTAATCTCTATTCCCTTACCCATAATCATTGGTCTTCAAATCAATAAAAAGAAAATAGGTAAAGGAAACAAGAATCCCAGAACTGTATAAACCAAGTCTTCATATAGTATTAGTTATTAGAGGGGAGATTCTAAATTTGCTTGAATGATCAATTCCTTAATCAGATGTTTTCAGACATTGATGAAAGTATATACCTCCTAGGAGTCCTAGTTCCTTTGTATTACTTTGTTTAAAATGTTACATTTAGTTAGGTTTTACCTGAAAGAAATATCAGTACTTATTTTCAGTAGCAAAAGCCAGACATTCAGGAAACTGAAGTTAGAAGTATTTAAATCCTGCCTAAAATCTACAGAAAGAAATTAGAGTCATTCTAAATTTTGAGAGTTAATAGGGGAAAAAAAACTCTGAAAACAAACTTCTCTTTCATTCCATACTAGGGTTTTTTGTTAACTGTTTTGGACTTTTGTTTGTTTATTGACTTGCAAAAGTATTAGGCTACATATGGAAACTTTTTGTCTAACTGTATTTTTCACAACTGGAATAATTGTCAAATTTTCACAATTTAAAATTTGCCAAAATGTCTCTTGACATTTGAATTAAATGATTCATTATTTCTCTGTATGTAAGTCTGTTTGAAAAATAAAAACAATAGCATGTGAATGAACCGGTTTTCTCAGATAAGAATATTTTCTCTGACGGGGTTGACACTCTAGGGTGCTATGATCATCTGTAGTGACAGGACAGCAGACTACTCTGGATTCAAGCTCTGCTGCCCTGTCGGGTCTGACTCATGGAAACTGTCTGGAGTGGGCTGGCACACCACAGATTTCCAACGACTTTTCATCTCATCAGCTTTTTCTTCCTAGGAACAGCTGGGTGGATTTGACCAAGTAGCATGCCATTTAGTAGCCAGGTGATCCCAAATTTCCCTCTAATATAATGGCCTCTGTGCCTTGGTTTCCTCAGTTGTAAAATACAAAATTCCCCAACAAAACTCAATGAGGCTATAGATCACACGGGAGGGATACTGGCCATCCTTATGTCTGGGAGACACTGATGGATTTGAACCACGAGAGAAGCTCTAACTTTGGGTTATAGAATCCACCCATTTCTGAGGACAATTATGAGGATTTGGTGAAATGATGTATACGAAGTGCTTAGGAGAGTACTAGACGCACATTTGCCTTCCATAACTGCTCGAGATAATCACATGCTGTTATTTGGAGCTCTGGTGGCCTAGTGGCAAGGAGCTGCACTGGCAACCCAAAGGCAGTTGGCTCACATCCACCAGCTGCTCCAAGAGATAAAGATGGACAATCTCCTTCCATGCAATTTACAGCCACTGAAAACCTGCTGGTGAGTCAGCAATGAGTTGGTTTAGACAACACTATAGGTCAAGAGCTTTATGTCCTCTGTCTCTAAACCTTATAACAACCCTGGAAAGGAACTGTCATTGACCCCAATTACAAGGAAACTAAGGTTCTCAGAGGGAGCTCTGGTGGCCTAGTGGCAAAAAACTGTGCTGTGATCCATGAGGCACATAGTTCAACTCCACCAGGTGCTCTGTGGAAGAAGGATGAGCAATCTCCTCCTGTGCGGTTAACTGCCTCTAAAAACCCACCAGAGGGTCAGCTATGGGTTGGTTCTGACATATGGTACACAACAACAACAAGGTTCTCAAAAGTCAACCACTAGCTCTAAATCTCTTAAGCTGCTAAGTAGTAGAGTCAGTATTCAAACTCAAGACTCACCAGCATTAAGGCCAGGCTCTTGCCACTATTACACTTTACCTTCCCTTAAGAATAGAGAGTCATTCAGCTGGGTTTCTTGTTTCTCTGTCCCACGGATGGAAGAATGGATGAATATACTTTTTCCACCTCCACCTCCACCACCCACATCCCAATTATATGCCTGCACGGACCTCCTGCCTATCAGAACCTCTGAGGTCAGCACCTGCTTTATGTACTGCTCGCCTTGTCTGCATACCTCACCCACCCTCCCCACAGGAATCAGCCTCAGGTCCTGCCCCTTGTCATTATACTGAAAAGTAAACAGGTAAGTGTGTTGAGCTAAGCTCTGACAGAATGAGCATATTCTTAACACCTGTGTTTGGAGAAGAACCACTCATATAGTGATAAGTGTCTGAGCTTGGCACTGACTAAATGGAGCCTGGTGCCCGAGGGCATCAATCATCAGTCATTTATTGTGTCATACTGTTCCTAATTAATACCTTCCTACAACAAAAGATGAAAGACATTGTGGAGTCTCAAATGCTTAACCTAAGATATCTTTTATGCTTTAAAGAAAAGATTTCTTTTGGGGGAATATTTTTACTTCATAGCTTATCAAAATAATACAACCAGCTTTGGAAGGTATGGTTTTAAAAGTAAACTTTGCCTTGATCTGTTATAAAGGCAAATCCTTGCTGGAAAAACAAGTAAAAGTATACTACATTCAGTGGATTTACTCTGAAATAAATAGCATTTCTGACAAACTGAGGAGCTATTTATCTGCTCTGATGACTTCTTTTGGTTTGAGGAGTGCAATTCCTACTTGTCACAGATAGGAAGTCAGCCTTCTCCTCAGGCCATGGCCAGGCTGCACATCTGGATTTGTTCTCACCGACCTGGAGGGATGACAAGCTATTTCCCTGCATCAGTTAGGTAAAGCTCCTATTTCCTTCTGTTAAATAAAACAATGCCCCAAATCTCAAGCTCCCAAAGTAATGTAAGAACTTCTGTACAATACAAAGAGCATGAGACGTTATCTCCCTGGAGAATATAATTACTTTCCACTGAAGGATGTTTAAAGACTGCTGACTCCTACTTTATATGGTGAATTTTTCTCAGTCTTGAAAATATGTCTGCATAGAGACACCAGCTGTGGGAAATCATTCCAGAAAATCTCGATTATACCATATGCAACTTCAAAAAGTATTCACTCAATTGGTTCAGGTAGCTGAGTAATATGCATATATGCTTTTCTGGGAAACCGGTTTAAAATTAAATAATTGACAGAGGGGAAGTAATTTCTAGTTGCAGCTTTGCCATTAACACTCCCTTTGTGCCTTAGTGTCTTGCATTATTTACAAAGTCAAGCTAGGCAGATTGTCTTAAAGTACTTGGATATTTACACACGCACAACCCAAAAGATATTTACTTATCGAAAATGGAAGAGATATAGTCTAATCAGCAATTTCATCATCTATTCCAAACTGTAAAAAGCTTTTCCTGAGATTGTCTTATTGCTGCATTAGGTTCCCATTTCCATTTAGCTTCAAAATGTTCTGGCAAGGTTCTCACACAGCCCTGGCTGAGAGCAGGAAAAGATAATGAGCTTCCCAGCTCTTGTTTGGGAAACAAAAGCAAATTTGTCCTTTCTTACCTGAGACTGAGCCTGAAGTGACATCTTCAGCTCTTCATTGTCCTCCGGTGTCATGCTGGTTTTGCCACAAGATACTTTAGGAAGTTCTTCCCAGCACTCTTTGGGCTTACCCTTGCAAATCAGGTCCAGGAGTCTGGAACTTTTGGTCCCACTCATGGCACATTCATAAAAAGTCCCATTGAGCAAAGCTACCGAAAGCCACATCATTGGAGCTACCAGTGAGCTCAGGGTAATCTGACCGAGTACATAGAAGAAGCGGCCGACCTGGCCTCTGGGACAGATTTTCCTGGGGTTCACACAGCAGCCTGTGAAAAGCCTCCACGACCTGTTGTTCAAAAAGAATCCCAGGATCAGTAACACCCAGGCGGGAGCAAAAAGGAAAACAGACCCATAGGCTGTATTCTCAGTGGTGCAGGGGCACTTAAAAGCCACCAGCGAGAAGAGCCGCTCCCCTCCCACTGTCAGCAGAGCCATGAAGCTGTAGCCTATAGCAGTTTTCTGGTTAAGGAAGAATTTTAAAAGCCCCTGAAAAGCATCCATGTTGGACATCCTCAGAGAAAGAAAATCTTTGCGCTTGATCTGTAGAGCGGCTGTGGCAGCAGCCGAGGGTGGAGCTGGTTCTTTCTTCATAGAAACAACAGTCCTCCTTCTCAGGCTGAATTCAGCCAGATAAGGAAACAATGTCATCTCCTAGGAATGAACGTTTCCCAACCACGTTCAGAGAATGCCTCCTACTGGTGGGCATTGGGCTGGGAGGCTGCTGCCTACACCCGGAGAAACAGAGTAAAAGCAAAGAAAAAGAACACAACACTCATGTTTGTATTCTTTCCATGCAGCTTGAATAAAAAAAAAAAAAATAAATAAAATAAAAAAAGAAAGAAAAAAATTTCTCACTGAGACAAATAATAATAGTCTCGGAATTTTCTGGCTGAAGGAATCAACATTAGCTGAAATGGGTGCTTGCCAGTTGACAGGGGGCCAAGTCAAATTACCAAGTTTCATGACTTCCCCCTCTATGTTCTTGCCTTAACATTTGGAAGACTAAGACTGGTTTTATATCTTCTTAAACTACTTCTTCCTTGAGCTTGCCACCAAATTTTAGGATTTGGCCTTTTTGAAATTTATATGGAAAAGTATTAGAGATTGAATTTCGAGGAAAGACAAACTTTCTCATTTCTTCCTCTGCATACCACCCCCCCACCCCCAAAAATAAGGAACAATGGTGGCCTAGTTGGTAAGGACCTGTGCTGCTAACCTTAAGGCAGGTGGATCAAATGCACCAGCTGCTCCATGGGGGATAAAATGGATAATACACTGTAGTGTGACTTAAAAACCTCTGAAAACCCACTGAAAGTTTAGCTACGAGTTGGTTCCAACTGGAGGGCATGTAACAACTACAGTCTCACTGAAATCTCTTCATTGGTATCCTTAGGCTTTGCAACCCACCTTAACCTTCTGTCCTCCTGCCAATACCAACAAGATGCCTCTAAAGCAAAAATCCAGCATTAGCTCCAAACACATAAAGGGATCCCCTCTGTTTCTGAGAGACCTCTCTCCCTCTTCCACACCTCATCATGGGATTTCCCATGTTGTCTGTCTTCTGCCTAGAATGATCCCTCTCCATCCACTTGGCAAACCCTTGCTCAATATTCATAAAATTTCTTTCTCTGTGAATATTTCTCGGAACTGTCCTCTAAAATTTTTATAATTGTTTTCTAACATATAACATTGTACTTGCAGGACTTTACGCATTATTACAGTTATTTGCTTTAATGTTTGTAGCCCATCTTTCGGTATGACCTCATGTTGTGTGCCATTGAGTTGATTCCAAGCCACAGGGACTCAACAGGGCAAAGCAGAACTACCTCAGAGTGTTTCCAAGACTACGTTTTTATAAATGCTGATTCCCACATCTTTCTCCTGCAGTGTGCAGGTTTGAACTACTGACCTCTTAGCTAGCAGCTGAGAGTTCAACTATTGGACTTATGGCTCCTTGTACGCTCTTATAAAATAGGAACTACATTTTGTATCCAGGACTTGATCATGGTGTCAAACGTAGATTGGATGGATGCTCACCTAGTAAATTGTTTTTAAACAGAACTTGAACTTCCCTTGTATTGCCAGGCGTTGTGCTCGCAGACAATGCCAGTACCAGTTGAGTGACTGAATGGTGAACTACAGTATTTCTAATTTATGTCGTTTGAGAAAAATTTTATCCATTTCTCTCTTGCATTATTCTTAATTTAAAACTAAATTAATAAAAACACTTGAAAATTGGCAAATTTTCATTAGTCAAATTCAAGTCTATGTGCTTTGTGAAAAAAAAAATTTCCTTAGACTATGATGCAAAAAGATTAACTTATAGTATGAACTTGGCCATATACCATTTTACTTTCCTGAATCCTAGTTTACTCATTTGCAAAACTAAGATTGTGAAAGAGATAGCACTATGATTTCTACACTTCAAACATAGGAAAGCAGTAGGATCTATTTGAAAAACGACTTTATCCCACATTTAGGTGCTTCCCACCATTGTCAATTGTCCCTTTGCAGAGATCTGTCTTCCTTCAGAACATGAGTTTCACCATCTCCTCCAACATCCGTAGGCTCAACATGCCACTGGCATATTTTCTAATCGACTTCTCTTGCAAGAGATGTGCCCTTTGCCTCTTCTGAGAATTCAGGAAGATATACTTTGCCAGGTTCTGTGTGACGCCCATGCTGGGATGTTTATAATGGATGATATTTTAAATTCCTCTCCTCTTAGAGGATATTTTGGGGGGCGAGCGCAGAATATCTGAACATAACATCTTAGCCTTCTGTTTTACACCCAGATCATCTCCATGGAACACTTGGTCCTCAGGATACTTCCTGGAAATAAGAGAAACATTTTTATTTCAGCAAAATCACATGGTCAATAAACTGTAAATGTCATTTTAAACCCAGGCATTCGGACTACACTTTCCCTGTAGTCAACCATTGTGTTGCACTGCTGGTAATATTATTTGTTTTAGTGATTTTTATGAGTCATTGAGTCAGAAACGATTCATAGCTGGCTGGCCCTTTAGTGGGTTTGTAGAGGCTCTAAACTGCACTGGGGGAGATTTCATGCCTTTAGGTCCATAGGGCAGCTCCTCACCACTAAGGCACCAGCGCTCCCTCTGGTACCGTTATCCTATACCTAGATATTTTCCTCTAGAGTAAGTTTAACTAAATGTTCATTTTGTTTGTTTGTTACCCTCTTTTTATCAGGTTGCCTTCAAAATGTACTTGGGAGTTACACCAAGTGTGACCTGTAACAGTTCGAGCCGAAATGAGTTTTCATTGGTGCTGGATAAGAACCCGTTGGTGGAGTTTGTGGAAGAGCTTCCTGCGGGACGGTCTTCTCTGTGCTACTGTAACCTTCTCTGTGGAATTATCAGAGGTGCCCTGGAAATGGTAAAACCTGCATTTCATTGTGCTACTTATATTAGTTATTTAGTGTTTCTGGATACAAATGGTTAACACACTTGGCTGCTAACTAAAATGTCCAAGTCTACCCAGAGGAGAAAAAGCATGAAGATTTGTTGTTGTTGTTGTTATGTGCTGTCAAATCACCTACAACTCATAGCGACCCTATGTACGACAGCCCTAAACCCTGCTCTATCCTGTGCTCTATCCCAATCTTATTGTCTCTGACATACCTACCCCCATTACCCTAGTCACTGAATCAATCCATCTCATCGAGGGCCTTCCCCTCCTGTGCTGTCCCTCCACCCTACCAAGCATGATGTCCCTCTCCAATGACTGGTCCCTCCTTGCATCATGTCCAAAGTATGTCAGATGAAGCTTTATAATTCTTGCCTTCAAGGAGCAGCCCAGTTTAACCCTCTCCAGGACGAACCTCTTTGCTGTCCTAGCAGACTATGGTATATTCAATAGTCTTCTCCAGCACCACAGCTCAAAGGCATCAGTTCTCCTCTCATCCCTAGTCAGCTATTGAAAACCCTGTGGAGTAGACTTCTTTTCTGACACACATAAAACTGAGTCAGAATTGCATCAACAGCAACTGGCTGGTTTTTTGTTGTTGCTGCTGTTTTTCGTTTGCTTGTTTTTAGTAATCTATTGCTGTGTAACAAATTACCTCTAAATGTACCAGCTTAAAACAATAAATGTTTGTTCTCTCACACAGTTTCTGTGGATCAGGAATCTGAAAGTCGCTTAGCTGTGTGAGTCTAGCTGTTTTATTCATGAGATTGTAATCAAGTTGTTGTCTTTGGAGATTTGACTGGGACTAACAAATCTGCCTCCAAACTCACTTATGAGGTTGTCAGCATTTAGCCAGGGACTCTAGTGCCTTGCCAAAGTGACTTCTTTGGAGAGATCCTGATAAAATGATAGCTGGATTTGCCTAGAAAGAAAACAGATTAGAGAGAGAGAGTGAGGGGAAGAGAACCCAAGATGGAAACCCTATTCTTGTTTGTTTTGTTTGGCTGTTCTTTTATTATTATTATTATTATTATTATTCATTTTAATGAATGTTTACAGAGACTTAGGGTTTCCATTCATTCATTGTCACATTTTTCTCCCTGCCCACTTCTCCCCCTTAATTCTCTCTTCTCTTTGAAAAGTAAAAGAAAAATTCTTTCATTTTGTTATACAATCCCGCCCCCCAAATCCACTCCACTATGCAGCCTTCATTCTGGACTCCTATCAGGATAATATACCCAATCATATATCGCTTTTAAACAGTTCTCTCTATCATCTGTTTCAATGCAGTATACATTATTTATCTCCTCTTTTTCAGTCTCCCCTCAACCCCAATGTCAGTCCCATTTTACAACAGTGACACTATGCAATATTTGTCCTTTTGTGACTGAGATATTTCAGTCAGCATAATGTCCTCCAGGATCATTAATTTTGTATAATATTCCATGAGTTCTTTGTTTTTCAATGCAGCATAGTATTCCATTGTGTGAATATACCAGAGGAAAGCCATATTCTTTAGTAATCTAATCCAATAACCTAATCTCAGAAGCAGGAGTGGCATTCACTTCCTAAATAACATGCCTCTGGAAACTCTATGATCTTTGATAAGTGTCAATAGTTATAGAACAGCTACAGGCCTTTCGTTCATAGGGTTGTTATGAATCATGTTCAACTTGAAGACAACAACAATAACAATCCCAGAAGTGGTATACACCACTTCTGCCATATGCCATATGCCACATTCTTTTGCAGTCCTATTATTGCAGTGTACCTGAGGATGTGAATACCAGGAGATAGGAATCAGGATAGCATTGTCTCAGAGAACATCTTTCATATTGGGATTGCTCATCGATTTGAAAAAACAAAAATTCATTGGTGTCGAGTTGACTCTGACTCATGGTGATCCTCTGTATGTCAGAGCAGAAAACTGGACTCCATGGGCTTCTTAATGACTGATTTTCTCAGAAGTAAATCATCTCCAAGACTTTCTTCTGTGGTACCTACCACCATTAAGTGCCAGGAGCTAAGGATGCACAGATGAACAGGACACAGTTCCTGCCCTCCAAAAATCTGTGTCTAGTAGAGAAGCTGGATGAGTAAAGAAAGGAAACAGTATAATTAAGAGTTATGGGAGGACCTAGGGGCAAATCCAAGCATCAAATTCATCAAGTCAGCTCTGACTCATGGCCACCCTCCATCAGGTTTCTAAGGCTGTATATCTTAATCTAAACACAGTATAGAATCCTGCTCCTTTGGTATAGCTGGTGGAGTCCAAATGTTGAGCTTTCAGTTAGCAGCCCCATGTGTAATGTACTATACCACAATACCACAAGGGGATTAGAAAAACCGTCCTAGAGAAACTCAGAGGTACTTCTGAAGGAAAAATAGGAGGTAAATAAAAGGCTTTAGGGATAGGGGAGGAGAGAAAGAATATTCCAGATAAAAAGTGCAACATGTCCAAAGGCACAAAAAGATTTTTAATTAAAGAACAAGGACCTTAGGGGAGCTCTGGTGGCCTAGTGGCAAGGAGCTGCAACTACAATCCCAGAGGCACATGGTTCGAATCCACCAGATGCTCTGCCAGGGAAGGAGGGACAATCTCCTCCTGTACCAGTCAGATCTGATTTGACGGTATGCTCACACAAAAATAATAAAATAAAATGAGCTTATTTTTTTTAAAAAGAACAAGGACCTTGTGTTAGTTCAGTAAGACTCTTATATAGACGGAGAGAGTGACTATTGTGAGAAAATATGTTTAAATTATTTAAAGAGATCTGCTTTTAAAAATTACTTTCTACAACATATTTGGGCATAGGGATTTTTTTAAAAAATTAAAATTAAAAGCAACAGAAAGCTGAAGATTATCAACAAAAATTATCAAATTGAAACTCATATCTTAAGAATGTAATTTTTTTTCAGTGAAATGAAAATGTGTAAATGGGGCTGGAGACTAAGATACAGGTGATCAAGACCATAGTCTTTGCAATTACTTGCTATGCATCAGACAGCTGGACAGTGACTAGGGGTGATAGAAAAAAATTGATGCCTTTGAGCTGTGGTGCTGGAGAAAAATATTGAATATATACCATGGACTGCTAGGAGAACAAACAGGTTCATCCTAGAAAGGGTGAAGCAAGGCTACTCCTTGGAGGCAAAGATTCTGAAGCTTCATCTGACATACTTTGGGCATGTTGCAAGGAGGAACCAGTCCTTGGAGAGGGATGTCATACTTGAGAGAGTGGAGGGACAGTGCAGTAGAGGAAGACTCTTGATGAGATGGATTGATTCCGTGACTGGGGTAATGAGGGAAGATGTGTCAGAGGTTGGCGTAGGATAGAGCAGGTTTCAGGGCTGCCTTACATGGAGTCGTGATGGCATGTAACCACACAATAACACTGGAGAGACTGGGAAGAATTGTTGGAAAGTGGACGATGGCAGTGTGAGCTAAGACAGGAATAAAGCTTGCAGAGTGGGAATGGAGAAGGAGTGAGTGATTTGAGAGACAGTAAAAAAAGCTAGTTTGAAGTAGCCAGTTGTCCATCAGGAGAGAGACAGGTAATCTCTTCCCTGAGGACTTATAGCTCTGGAAACCCTCTAGAGGGTCACGAGGAGTTGGAACTGACTAAGTTATAGTGGGCCTGAATTAGAGTTTTGAATAAAGTAAAATATGTACATCTAGGTTATGGGTTGACGGAAAGAGACAAAGTTGGGGAAAAGATTCAGTAGTGGCTTCGAGGAGCCTGTGGAGATAGTTGTATCAATAACCTTAAAAGAAAAGCTAAGAAGAGTAGATTTGAGGGTGTTTAAAATGTGTGTGTGCACACAAGTGAGGATATCCCATGAGAGGTTTCTCATGCCTGTTTGGAGCTCACAGAGAGGTAAACTCAAGAGGCAGTGAAAGTGACCAAATGCCTCAGGAGAATGTGTAGAGTAAGAAGAAAAGGGAGTCACAAATAAAGCCTAAAGAGTAACTGAACGTTATAGGGTCTAACAGAGAAAGGAGATGCTGTGAAGGGTAGCATTAAGCAGTTGTTGGTGTGTGTCGTTAAGTTGGAACTGACTCATAGCTGACACATCCAGTGAGCTTTCAGAGGCAGTAAAATCATGCAGAAAGAGATTGCCCAGCGCTCTCCCATAGAACAGCATGTGGAGTCAAACCACAAACCTTTGGGTTGACAGTGTAGCTGCTTGACAATAAACCACCAGAGCTCCAGAAGGAGACTAAGTAGAAAAGAAAAAAGATATCAGGAAAGAACTAAGTAATAGAAATGAGGGGGACATGGCTCAACTGTCAGCAAGACTAGGCAGTCTTATAAGGTGAACAGTAACAGGAGGGAGTTGCACACTCTTTGGAAAAACCAATCATAATAAATCAAAGGGGCAGCATTTTCAAAACAGAGGATGGAAGAGGTCAGAAGAGCAAATAAAAACTGAGAAACACAGAAACGAAGTGCTCTTATATTGTGGAGATTGCAATTAATATCATGAAACAAAATGTATATGAGTTATTGAATGGAAAAGGAAATTGCTCTGTAGATTTTCACTCAAATTACAATAAAAACTTAAAAAAGACTCAAAGAGGAAAGGATTTAAAGAGAGGGGAAAATTAATTTCCTCCTGTACAGTTAGCTGCCTCTGAAAACCCACTGGAGGGTCAGCTATAGGTTTATTCTGACTCAATGGTACACCACCACAACAATAAATAACAAGACCAAGTTAATTAAAACCAGACCTGACAAATAGCCACCACAGGAGGAACCAAGGTCAGGGAGGAAGGGCTTTGGAAAAGTTGCTCAAGGACGTGGAAGGAAGAGAAGACAATCTTTCATAGACTAAGGAGCCAAGAGGAGTTTAGGTAACAATTGAAGAGATTACCATCAACAGATCTCACTTTTTCAGAAGATTAGCTCTTAAGAGTGGTGGGACAGGATAGTAAAAAGCCAGACCTGGGTTTGCCTACCCAATGAAGGAGAATGCATTTTGTTTTAAATCACATGTGAGAGTTGTTGTTCTTGATTGCCAATAGTGACTCTATGAAAAAAAGACCTGAAGCCTTTCTTTAACTATCGTCGTTTCTCAAAGTTCCTAGAGTTTCCAGAGCCATGTTGTTTAGGAAGTGGATGCCACTACTGCTTCCAAATGTAATAATTAGTGGAAGAATATATAGTGTTGTTGTATACTGTGGGGTTGGAACTGACTCATAGCTGATGCTCAAATGGGATTTCAGAGGCAGTTTAATTGCATGAAAAGAGATTACTCATGTTTATCCTGCAGAACAATTCATGGATTTGAACCATGTACCTCATATAACGCAATGTTGTTGTTATGTGCCATGGAGTTGCCTGCACCTCATAGCAGCCCGTGAACTGTAACAGCTCTGAACCCTGCCTAGTCCTGAGCCAGTCTCACTGACTCTAACACACCTAATTGCTTCAGTTACCGCGTCAATCCTTCTAATCCAGGGTCTTGCTCTCTTGCACGGTCCCTCCTCCCTTCCAAGCATGATGTCCTTCTCCAAGGACTGGTCCCTCTTGGCCATGTGCCCACAATATGTCAGATGGCGCTCCAAAGCCATTGCCTCCAAGGAGAAACTTGGTTTCACCCTCTCGAAGACATACCTGTTTGTTCTCCTGGCAGTACATGGTATGTTCATATAAAACAATAGATGTAGAATATTATTAATGCAAATCTTCTTGCTGCTTCACCAAGATTTTTCTAGTCTTTCTCTACTATTAAAGTGGTCTTGAGATTATAGAGTGAGAGGAAAAAGAAAGCATCCTGTGAGTTTACACAAAAATTGTTAATTAACTTAAAATCAAGTTAAAAGAAAGAAAGAAGTCTCCAGTCTTCATGGATAGCAGTGTGTTCTTATGCTGAATGACAAATAGGCTGTCTACAAATTATTAGTTTCCAAATGTCAAAAACTTCAACTATCTATGTCATTTTAATTGGTTTTCTGTAATCTCTGATTGAGACATAGAATATTTTATGGGGAGAAAAAAAATGACTGCAAGTGAATTTGCTTTCTGTGTTTCAAAGGGCATTTACTTTTCAACTGGGTAATGGACTTCACAAAGATATGGTTTTTCTTCCCTATACGAGCCAGATAATTTACACACAGTAGGGTCTACTATGTAGGCTGACTGAAAAAGATATTTTCAATGAGAGGGAAGAACTGAGTCAGATTCAGTGTAATGAATATTAACTGAAAAAAATGAAGATAAATTATTAACTTCCAGTAAGCACAGGTATCCCTCCTTACTTGCTTTTATGAAAGAGCTCCACAGGCACAATGAATAAGAGCTTGGCTGCTAGCCAAAGGTTGGCAGTGTGCAGAAGAAAGATATGACAATCTTCTCCTGTAATGATTATTGTTGTTGTTAGGCACCACGGGCTTGCCTCTGATTCCCAACGACCGTATGTACAACAGAACATAACCCTGCTTGAGTCTGTGCCATCCTCACAATCTCTGTTGCGTTCAAATCTTCTGTTGTAGTCACCATGTCAGTCTACTCAATTGGGGTCTTCCTCTCTTTTGCTGACTCTCCACTTTTCCAGCCATTATGTCTCCAAGGACTAAGCCCTCCTCATAACATACCAAAAATACGTAAGACAAAGGATGACCATCTTTGATTTTTTAAGGAACACTCTGGCTGCTCTTTTTCCAAGACAGATTTATTTGTTCATAAAGATTACAGCCTTGCAAACTCATGATGCAATTCTACTCTGTTCTATAGAGTTGTTACAAGTCAAGATCAATGGCAATGGGTTTGTTTGACTTTTATTTGCTTTTAATTGTACTTTAAGGAGTTCTTATAGTATGATATGTATTGGGTGGCTAACTGATCCGTCAGCAGTTCAAATCCACCAGCTGCTATGTGGGAGAAGGAAACCCATGGAGGGTCACTATGAGTTAGAAGCCACTCTATCACAGTGGGTTGGATTGGGTTCATTTGTTGTTCTTATTTATTGTTGTTTTGTTGTTATGTGCCGTCGAGTCATTTGCGACTCATAGCGACCCTATGTACAACAGCCCTAAACCGTGCTCTATCCTGTGCCAATCTCATTGCCTCTGACACACCCATCCCGATTACCCCAGACACTGAATCAATCCACCTCATAGAGGGTCTTCCCCTCCTGCGCTGTCCCTCTACTCTACCCAGCGTGATGTCCCTCTCTAAAGACCCGTCTCTCCTTATAACATGTCCAAAGTATGTCAGACGAAGTCCCAGAATCTTTGCCTCCAAGGAGCAGCCTGGTTTAACCCTCTCTTATTTATTACAGTGACTTAAAATAACCCTGAAGGAATACCCTACTGAGAGTAGGTCAGCAATTTCATGGTTCTGTATGTAAGAAAATTGTCACAAACAGAGAAGTGAGCCTGAGGGGGCTGACTGTGGTGTCTGGGAAGTGGGAACTGCTTTGCAGAAGAAAAGAGGCCTGAGTAATAATATTCAGGTCTATATTTTAAATCTTTAATTTTATATTCATAATTTATTTATTTCCTTTTTTTTCAAAGCTCTTAGAGCATAATTGATTGCTAAATGTTGTTGGGGTAAATGATTATGCTGCTTCGCAAGAGACAGAATGATATATGGTAAATCAATCTGAGAAGAACCCTTTAAGGATTCACTTATGCTTGAAAGTTCTGCTTGGTTTGTGCATTGGGTTAAAGCCATCTTTGTGTTGGAAATACATGCTCCTCTTGTAGCTTGTCAGAAGCCCACACCTCTTGGTCTGTCCCAGAACCATTTGGTTTAGACTAGGACTTCAAGTATCCTACTCTTTTTTTACTCACACCTCAAGACTGACCTGCAGTCAGACCATCTATGGAGGGCATACAATCCATACACCTGACTCTTATTTTCATCATTCTATAATGAAAGATTAACACTTTATGGGATGGATACAGCTGAAAGGGGGCTTGAGAAAAAATTGCTGCTTTTAAATTTTTAAAAATTTAAAAGCTGAATGACACAGTGTTAACCCCCCCCCTTTCTTTCTGTCCTAGGTTCATTTGGCTGCTGATGTTACATTCTTGCAAGACAGACTAAAAGGCGACAGTGTGACAGAAATAGGAATTACATTTCTAAAAAAGCTAGAAGAGAAAAAATACAGACGGAAAAAATGAAGACTAGCATGTAAAATGCCACAAGGTGGCTAATTGGGAGTTACTATTAGCCAAACATAAATTTAGAATTGCTTTGTAGCATGAACTTGTAAATGTTTAGAAATAAGTCAGAAATTTTAAATGCCTACCATAAGGATTTAAAGCTGTTTTTCTTATGCTTATGAATGACACATATTTTCATTCTGTGTTATTTTATAAGTAATCCCCTATGAGAAGCATGAATTCTAGATATTATGCAGTTAATCTTAAAATAATCTAGTCATTCTATTAACTCATAACAGAAAACACAGAAAGTATGAGAGTGAGAGTCTAGCTATACAAATGATTTGTCTCTTCTTAGAAAATTGGTAAAATGATATAGTATAGTGTTCACTACTCTAATAGTTTCTAGAAATTATGTATTTAATTCTCCATAGAAGTAGTTCCATTTATAGTACTCTCCTATATTTTTAAGAAATTGTAGATATAATATTTTTTTTTCCTCATGGATTAGCTTGCCATACAGTTTCAACCTTCATTAACCAGGGCATGCTAGCTATTTATTTGCATGATAATTTTTAAACATTTAAAATGGCATTTTATTTTAATTAATCTAATAAAATTAATTTTTTGAGAGTTACTGTTAATCAAATTCCTTCTTTTCCTCATTAAAATGGGAGTCAAATAATATTAAGAATACTTTCTAGTGTTCGTCAAGTGTTGCCCACTTTTCTTGGTTTTACCATCATTCCACTGCAAGACACCAAGGCCCACATAGTATGTTACTTTCAGTCAACAGAATCTGAAGTAATGCTGTTAGGCACCCTCCAGTCAACTACAACTCATAGAGTAGCAGATGTGAACCTTGCTCAATCCTGCACAGGCCTCACCACCTCTGTCATGCTCAAGTTCATTGTAAGAATGTCATTTTTGACAACTTCTGATTTAACGTCCTCCACTTTATGTTCCAATTATGAATGGATACTTGCAGCTATTTCTTCTTACTTGAGTTTTGCCACGTTAGCAACTGAAGGTCCCTCCTTGGGTAAAAGCTATACTCTATCCGTGTCATGGTAGCCTCTACTTTGAGGAGGCAGACCTTTTCCCTTCATATTCTGAGTGCCTTTCAACCTGACAGGGTCGTCTTCAGGCACTAGATCTATCAATGTCCTCCTGTTGTACATAGAATTTTAGAAGACCTGTTATTTAAGAAGTGGATGGCCAGTCCTGCTTCTTACTCTGTCTTTAGTCAGGAAGCTCTGCTGGAATGTGTCCACCATGAGTGACCTTGCTGCTCTTTAAAGTACCAGTGACATAGCTTCTAGCATGATGGCAAACACAAGTGACCACAGTATGGCAAACTAGTGGTCTGAAGTAAAGCATCTGCTAAATATCCCTTCCCCATTAATAGAAATGCAACCAAGTTCATTGTGTGATAAATAATGAGATAGGTGAGAGACTTTACATAGAGAAGAGATTGAGATTGTTAACCACTTCAGTTAGCTTGGCTCCACAATCAATACTCTTGGTGCCAGCAGTCAGGCAATCAAAAGATGAATTGCATTGGAAAAATCTGCAGTCAGGGACTTCTCCAGAGTACTTGAAGAGCAAGGATATTAATCTAAGATTAAGACTGATGAGACTAAGGTGTGCCTGATCCAAGCTGATCTTGGTATACCTATGAGAGCTGGACAATGATTAAGGATGATAGAAGAAGAATCAATGTTATGATGATGAGTTATGATGATGGAGAAGAGTATTGAATGTACCATAAACTGCTATGAGAACAAACCAGTTCATCCCGGAAAGGATGAAACCAGGCTCCTCCTTAGAGGCAAGGATTTTGAGACTCCATCTCACATATTTTTAGTATGTTGTAAAAACCATCATATGTGGAAGGATGGAGGGACAGCGCAGGAGAGTAAGACCTTGGATGACATGGATTGACTCAGTGACTGGGATAATGGAGGTAGGTGTGTTGGAGACAAAGAAATTGGATTAGGAGAGAACAAAGTTTGGAGCTGTTGCATATAGGGTCTCTCTGAGCTGCAAGCAACTCAATGGCACATAAAAATGACAGAGAATATTAAAGAGACTATGCTTTTTCTTATTACATTTTATATATTATTAGGTTTTCAGTGATATCCTCACATAGCTTTCCTCCTTATAGAGTGGAGACTTGCATTATAGTGAGTATCTACCTGGCATTCCAAAGTCCAGAGAAGGGAAAATTCACAGAGAAGACATAAATTTAAATTAATGACACCTCATTGGGAGAAACCAAAACATAAATTTCTGTTTCTTACTTCAATATATTTCTTTCCAGAAAACTTAAGTTCTATCAGAAGTCACTTGAGGATTTCAAAATCTAAGCAAACCTCTAATTTCAGGAAGCTCCAAGGCATAAATCTTTCAAGATAGCCAATTTTCTGTAGCTCCTTAATATTTCAATCTAGTGTATGAATCAAATAAATATTTGTGATTTAAAAGAGTAAACATGAATTCTGAAAGGTTTAGCTATCACACACCCACCCATTCCCATCAAGGTGAAACTGACTCGTAGCTGACTTCCAGTGGGCTTTCAGAAACAGTAAATCACATGGGAAGAGATGGCCCATATTTCTTCCTCTGAGCAGCTTGTAGATTTGGACCACCTATGTTTGTGTTCTCAGTGGAAACACTAGGCTCCCAGAGTTCCCCCAAAGGTTCGGATAAAAGAATATTTTCTTGTGCTTCATTTGATTTCACTTTCCAGATTTGCCTCAAGCAAGCCAATCAGTGCTATTTTATATGCACTGAGAAATTTTTAAAAATTGGTGTGACTGACTTCATTGCAATGATTCTTTATTGCAGTGGTCTGGAATCAAACCTGAAATATCTCTGAAGTGTGCCTTTATATCAAGTAAGAAAATCATCTGAAAATTCCAGCTGCTTGTGAATAGATTCAAATAACATTTTATCAGATGCCATATATAAATTCATGCCTTTGAGCTGTGGTGCTGGAGAAGAGTATTGAGTGTATCATGGACTGCTAATAAAACAGATTCATCCTGGAGAGGGTTAAACCAGGCAGCTCCTTGGAAGCAAGGATTCTGAGGCATCTGATGTACTTTGGATATATTGTAAGGAGGGGACCGGTCCTTGGAGAGGGATATCATGCTTGATAGGGTGGAGGGACAGTGCAGGAGGGGAAGGCCCTCTATGAGGTGGATTGATTCAGTGACTGGGATAATCAGGATGGGAGTGTCAGAGACAGTGCGATTGGCACAGGACAGAGCGGAGTTTAGGGCTGTTGTACATAGGATAGGGTCACTATGAGTTGCAAGCAACTCGACAGCACATAACAACAATAACAACAACAACGATACATACATTAATATATGGCACCTTTCCCCATGCATCCAGTTTGTAGCAGAGGGAGAAAGGGTGACTATGAAACTAAAGAGGGGCTGACTGACTTCGAGAATTTGTTTCTTTAGAAGCAAGACCTAGTAATAAAGGGAGTCAGAACTGGCTCCACTCTTAGGGGACTGAGTGACTGCCCGAGTGTGGTTTTAATTAAAGGGAATAAACATTGTGTATTTTGAGATTAGAGTTAATTTTGAGGTAATCAAATACCAGGAACTCTAGGAGAAGTCTGAATGGAGATAGTCTTTGGATTCATCAGTAAACATATAAGAGTCAAAGCAGTGGATGTGGACAGCAACACCTGGGGAGAATACAGATTTGAAAAAAATAGATGAAGCAAAGTGAGAATCCAGAGAAATACAGCTCTAAAGGTGAACAAAGAGAGTGCAAATGAAGCTAAACTTTCAGCTGGAGACATAAAAGGAAATACCTGTTTATGGTGACCTCAAGAGAGTTTCAAGAATAGCATAAAATACCAGATGCTATTGATCATTCAAGGTACTTAGAGAAGTCCTGGTGCCCCAGTGTTAAGAAGCTGCACTGCTATCCTGAAGGCATGCAGATCAAATCTACTGGCTGCTCCACAGAGCAAGATAGGCAATCTCCTCCCCTGTGATTAAGTGCCTTTGAAGACCCGCTGGAGGGTCAGCTATGGGTCAGTATCAACAGAACAGCACAACAGCCAACCTGAAAAGGAATTCTGAATGTGGTAATGAGGATATCTTTGCCTGAAAGCAGTCACAGCGCTCTGGTGGAGACAGAGGCAGCATGCCACGCCATGAGGAGCCATTGGGAACAGAGATGTGTAGATGATCCTTGCAAAGAGCATATTTGATAGGTGATGGAAATAGAGAATTGGAAGCTTTTCTCTTTTGGGGTTTTTTTATTATTAATTTCAGTGAAAATTTACAGAAACTTTGGATTCCCATTCATTCATTGTTGCACTTTTCCCCTGGTCACCCCTCCCCACCCCCCAGTACACTCTTCTTTTTGAAAAGTAAAAGAAAAATTCTTTCATTGTTTTACAATCCTTTTCCCCAGGTCCATTGCACTATACAGCCTTTGTTTTGGACTCCTGTCATGACAAAAATACCTAATCACACATCCCTTTTAAACCATTTTCTCCCTTATCTGTTTCAATGCAGTCTGCATAATTTATCCCATCTTTCTCGGTCTCCCCCCAACCGCGATGTCAGTCCTGCTTTACAGCAGTGCCACCATGCAGGAGAAGATAAAATAGATGAATGGGACCTTCTAAGAATCAAATCCCTATGCACATCCAAAAACTTCTCTAACAGGGTAAAAAGGGAAGCCACAGCCTGGGAAAAAGTATTTGGTAATGACATGGCAGATACGGATTTATGTCTAGAATTTGTTTTTGTTTTTTAAAGCAAGAAGGTATTGAAAATATTGTTGTTGTTGTTGCTGCTACTGTTTGGTGTCCCTGAGTATGAAGCATAGTGTCCCTCATCTCTGATACACTAGAGCCAATAGCTGAAGTCACAGTGTCAATCCATCTTATTGGGAGTCTCCTATCCTTTACTCACCTGTACCTTTTGAAACGTGATGTTCCTTTCCAAGGAATAGCCACTTCTCCTTGCTACATGTTCAAA